GTCTCCTTTCTTCGCGTCTCCTCGGCGCGGTAATTGCGCGAGGTACCTCGACTCGAGGACGTGTGTACACACCTTAATGATCCTCGAGGCCGATACGTAGGAAGCTGATTACTCATCGCACCGTCTATGCCGAACGTTTAGTGACTTATTGTGCTTGGTTATTGAACCCCTGGGAGCGTGTTCACTGTACCACGTTCCTCTCTCGGCCCTTCTATACTCGACATGCGGATGTGTAGCTTCCACTATAATTATACGCGTCGTACCTACTTACTTACGTACATTCAAATTACTTTATACAAGACTGTAAAAAATACGCTCAATGATGACATTATGTTTTATCGTTTGAAGCGTAAGCATGAGCGAGCTTCTGAATTTACGTCTTTTTACCGTCCGCAGGCGCCACTTTTTTAAAACGTAATGCAATAGGATGCATATTTTAAGCACCAGAAACGATATTTCTTTAGGGGTGTTTTATTATTTTATTCTTGCATCAATTCTCGACGCGTCGTATATATATTTATTATTCGTCGTATTATATGTATATTTGAGTCTAATAAGTCAAGTATATTAGTTACACCAAATCGTTGGAAAACGTGGCATTAGAATAGGACGGGACCATTTTTCAGTGATATCGCGCGTGTAAATAGACGTTAAATGGTGAACTTCCAGCAGTCACTAGGATGGTCGGCTGTCGTCTCTCGTTTGAAACTTTGATTCTGCCTCGGTGGGTGGCGGGCAATTCGTTACCGCGGAAAGTCCAGCTCTTTATGCGCCGGCGGTACACTGCACCGCGGAATTAATTTTCGCGAGGCATACAGAGAGCAGACGGGAGGCGGATATCGCGAGCAGAGCCGGAGCGTGGGCGGACCATGGCAAGGCGCTACGAGAAGACAAACGACCGGTTACCCACGCGAGACGCGCCACCTTCTCCGCGTTCCGGAGCTACGAATTTTCCATGATGTTCTCGGCCCGCGATTTTCGCAATTTGCGCTAGAGATAGAGAGAATTTGTCTGCGGAGGTGGGAGGGTCGTGTCCAAGCAAACCATAGGACTGTGAGAACTGATGTGCAGCACTACGGCGGGTTTGCAGTTTTGTGAGTTGGACAAGAGCTCTTTTGGGTCTGCGGGAATTTTAATGAATAAAGTCTTGGAATTCAACTTGGAGTCAACTCGGTGAGAATGAGAGACAGGCAAAATTACTTCGTCGGTGAAAAATTTTTTATTTTACACAACAAAAATATCGGGTGTGTTCCGCTCGAAAGGACGATTCTAAATCCCAAACATTATATTCTACGCATCGGTGATGTCCTAAGCGTACTTTTTCAAAAATAACGTTTTCGACCGAGAGAGAGAGAGAGAGAGAGAGAAGGGAAAAATGAGCTTTTCTCTCAATATAATCGACGTACGTCAAGTTTTGCGGACCATGTGGCCAGCATTTGTTTTAATTATTCCGAAAGTTTCCATTGAAGAGCTCATGAACGCGACAGTATCCCCTTGAAAGTGCTACCACTTAAGGACTTAAACATAGTAAATGAGAGATTTAGATATTATAGGATAGTGTAAACTCTTTTAACTTTCATCTTCAATATTTAATAACTCTTATTGAATCAGTACAAAAAGCTATGTAGATATTTTCTTATGAGATTCAGTAACATCTCATTTTCTCTCGTGGTAATAAATGCAGTTAACATCGTGTCGTCGATTCGCTCGATATTTGCTTTTTCCGCTAACAGCATTCGCTTTTCTTGCTCGAAAACGATTTCACGCCGTTGCGTTTACCTAATCGCTTTCCCTCGACCGGTCCCGTATTCGATATCATCCAACGGGAAGAAAATAGAGGGGAAAAAGCTCGTGGTCGAGAGAATCGCGAGATACCTGCTTAACGGCGCGGCGCAGCAAATTATATTCATAAACATTTATAAAGAGCGAACGTGGCCTATTACGGTAATGACCGTGATTGGATCCATAGAAAAAATTCTGGTTCCGCCTTTCTTTGATATTTTACTTTGGTCGATAATAGCATGATGTTTTCATAAGTCTATGGAGTACGCTAATGATCATAAAACACCCAACAGTTATGTCGACGGTGTAAAAACGATTGCCGTAAACCAGACTGAATTTGTAGCATAAATGACTTTCGGTTTATTGAAACAAATTTTATGTGAATTCGTTAATCAATGAATACTAGTACAAGTAAATGAAAGTACAGTAGTAAAGATGGTGATAATTCCTTCATTTCAATGAATGAGCATTTTGAAAACAGTAAAAATAATGGTGTCATACACATTATCAGATATCCGCCATAAATTAAATTTATTTAAATTCATTTTTCTTGTGTAACTCGTTTACATACATGTATAAGATCCGCAGTCCAGTTTTAAGAAAAACTGTGTAAACAAATTTTTATTGAATCTGCTAAAAAATTATTAATCAATATTTTTAAGCAGTTTGCGTTTACCCAAATCAAAATTTTATTCTGAACGCAGCTTGATGACTTATGGACGTGAGTGTACTTGCATGGAAAACATTCGACTATTGTTCGTAGCATGGTTCATTAGTCGGATAGTTTGCGATGATGTACGGCATATTTTACGGAAGTGGAACGAACGTAAGTAAGTGGACGACTTTAAAGAGCGACTCGAATCGTTAGATAGCCTTCCATGTAGTCCATGGATACGTCGATGAATCGCTCAGCTTGTGTTTTAGATAAGAGTACATGAAGATAATCGTCATTATTTCTTGCGCGAGGATATGCAAAATACTTATGAAGCATCTTTTAGTGGAATCAATGATTAATCAGTTATTTCATACAATTATTCTTATTCATTCACTCTATTTTTTTTACAATATGATATTTTATTTTGGCTGGCAAGCAATTTGATTAATAATGATTCAAAGAAACGCGTTGTCATAAGTAATTGTCTCTTTGTTTCTTCTTCTCTTCTCGTTACTTTGTCGGATTGGAGGAACGGGATTTACAAATTGAGTCCATAAATGATAGCAAACGGATTGGAAACGTGAGTAACGATCGGGATAGGATCCGGATAATAGAAATGTTCACGGCCGGGTGTCGGCGCAGGATTAATTTGTCTTTGATCAAAGAAAAATGTTTCGACTGCTTGAACGTTTAATAATTGTTCATTGTGTCGCGTACTCACGTACGACGACTATAGTTTTTATGAAGTAGTACGTATCTTTTATGTTTCACAGTTCATCGATTCATTTCACATTGTTCGGTTTTCATCGTGATTCGAATTGCAGTTGAAAGTTGAGTACAGGAACATTTATCCCTTACGGCAGAAATCTATTTCCGCAGCAAAAATACTTTGAAAATAGCGATAATTATTGGACTTATCGGTGCGGATATTTTTCAAGCAGTTGATTTAGTTCCAAACGAAATGAGAAATTTAAGTACATTTACAATTTTTCGGTTTTCTATTATTTCGATGTATTTCATTTTGTATTCAGCTTTTCTAAGCTCTCCAAATAATATTTTCTATCCGAATGGACTCTACTTACCAACTGGTCCAACATCGATTTAAAAATTCTTAAGTACGCATACACGTTTCGACCTTAGAAACTCATGCTTTAAGCTCGAAAGTGGTGAAGGCGCTAAGCTGAACGAATCCAGTGAAATAGACTGGTCGAAAGTATGGAAGCAGATCAGAGCGCAGATCGATTTGGAGCAGGAATCGTTCGGACAAATAACTTCCTGAACTACCAGGATTGTCTATCTATGTGGAAGTTTCATCACTTCTCCTCGCTGAATCCGATTATTGGATTTTGGCCGTGGCATAATCATATTACTGATATTGATGTTTACGATTGATTTGTGTCGCTTTAATCTTAGAATTACAGAGAACTATAGTTAGAAAAAAAAATTTGATATCCTCGTAGTGAAATAAAATAATGCATTTTTCATTTAATAAAGCGATAGTATTCTTCTTTGTACATGAAATGTAATGATATCTGTGTTCTGAAAATTGATATTATGTTACAGTTAGGAAAATTCTATTTTGCTTATACCGAAATATTCTGATATTCTAGACGTTGCATTATTAAAAAATGCACGAAAACATAGAAAAACGTAATATATAAAACATTAATTTTTATCAATTTCTGTCAGAATGTGCCACAACACGTTTTCTTATACTAGTTACATCAAACCGTTAGAATACATCAGTCACTGACACGGAAGGTCTTCAATTAAGACTTGCCATTTCTCTTCACGAAACAAGATTACCAAAGCTATTAAAATACTAGTTCATTTTTTCTCTTTTCCTTAAGGAGATCTTCCAAATCGTCTGGCCCTTGTCAGCGTTAATTGAATACGGCAAGGTTTCACGATATAATAAGAAGCATAAGAACGGATCACGCGAATGAGAATGGATCGTTATCTTAAAAAGTTCTGCCATTTCTCGCGGAGTTATAAGAAAGACTGTTCTCATACAAGACAACTTCAGGCTCAATTCCATTGCATGGAATTCTTCTGTCCTCTTCCCCTTTAGGTTTCACCTATCCCCGGATATCTCAAGATTCATTTTCTGTTTTTAAAACAAGAATTTGCCTTCATCATTGAGTAAATTAACAAATTTTGTAACAACCGATGGCTCGCTCGTGTTTTACGTTCAAAAATAGACTTTACGTCGTTCGCTAAAACAAACGCGAGAAATGTCATGCTTCGATTTGGAATTTCCTGGTTCGTTAGCACTCAATTTGAAGAAGAACGTTAAAAAGTAGATACACCTGCTTCTTTCGTCATTATTATTTCAATTATATAACTAGTTATGATTTGTTATTATACAACTATTGTATAATCTTTTTATTTATTTAATGTTAAGAAATATAGTTTTCCTGTTTAATTTATTACTTGGTTATAATAATTGTTAATTGATTCTCTCTTTCTCTGAGTGATAAATTATCACCACAGTGTAAAATAAGAATGATTATATCTCAAATTCAAATTGAAATTTGTATTCTAAATATAAACATGGCTTTTATTATAAATGAGGGGGAGGATATAACTAGCTAAAAGCGTTCTCTCTCTCTGCTCCTTTCGCCCCGGGTGAAAATCGAAAGTTTCCGAATAGCTGACGACCCAGGCCCGGAATAAATCGCATAACTGGGTTTACTGGTCTATTCCTAGGAGATCGGCTGGCTGTCTGTGCCGACCGTTTTATAAATACCTATCCGCGTTTCTATCGTCGATACCAGGAGTAACAATGAGTCAGCTTCTCTTAGCGTTCGTTGTCACCTCGCTATAAATAAAACTGGATAAAATTTTCCTCCGCGCTGTTATTATCTTGTGACCGTTGCTTGGGTAACATTACGAAACAATTTTATTCTAGAAAAGATGTATAGAAAATTTCTGGAAATGATTTGTCAAATAAAATTGAAGAGTAATAAAAATGATAGTTGTACGATACAATTTCGTTCGAATTGCATATTTACTAATTTAAATTGACATGATTACATTGATGTCTTACAAAGGTGTTACATTTTTAGGTCAAATAACACACGCTGCAATTCAATTACGTATGCATATACTCGAGCACATTACATAATAACTCTATCGTCATAATCTCCTTAATTTAATCCATTTCGATGGTATTACACCTAGTGTTCTTATGTAAATCTTGCAATTCCTACATAGAAAAATAACATAAAGCTGCATTTGTACGGCTTGCAGGAAATTGATTAAATCTTTAATTCAATTGAACAACATTTAACTTTTAATTTTTAATAATTAGGAATTAAAATTTAATCGTTAATTCAGTTTTCTGTCAATTAAGTTCATAAATAATGACAAACGAATTGATCTTTCTAAATTTCTATACTTTTGAATTTTACTGATCTTGCAATAAAAAACAAAAATGATTCGAGCTGAGTCTTCTAAACCCAATATTTATGAAAAACATGTATTGCTTCAGTATTGCTTTTATCCGGAACTACTTAATTGGAATTAATCAATCGGACGCGTGGGTTGATCTAATTTATTAGAAACATGTGCCGTTTTAGCTTTGCCAGTACTTGATAGATGGATGCTTGTTTCTGAAACTTGCAGCGGGAAGTTCAGTGCGTAGGCCAGGGTTCAACTCGTGTGTCGGAAAGTTTGAAGCCGAGACGACATCAAGCACACTTGATGCCACCGGATTTAACGTCGACTTCGTATAGCGGATATTTTCGTGGAACTCGTTTCATCATGTTGTGTCTTCGAATCTTTCTTCTCACGCGGTTTCCAAAATTTTACGCTTTTCATACTTGCTTTTTATATATCAACTTTTGATATTTGTGCCAGCTTTTTCGTTACCTTTGGACACGAAAGACGTTTTACGAAATATTTTATCTCAGGCTTTAATCTAATATCGTAGTACTAAATGAGATTTCTTGCGGAATATCTAATATGTTTTAGAGATTAATACAGTAATTACGTGAACCACGTGTTCATTTGCATGTTATTAAATCGGCTAGAATTAGATGTACATATTATATAAAGGATAAAAAAAGTATATTTGATGGTAATATCGATTAGCATAAAGGACTAGTATTGTCGATGGCAGCATAAAAACGACGTAACAGCACATGATAGATATTGATCGCGACAGAGAATGATAAACTATTCAATCACCTCTTCCAGTCGTTTTTCATTCCCATAAAAATATGCGCATTCACAAATTAATGTAATATATACTAAGAAGCTTCGTAATAGCTTCTTACTTAATTATACTAACGATGGTACATTAATTAATTTCAAACAGAAATTATCATTTTAATCACACCTCATCCACTGACTAAGAGCTAGAAATAAATACGATTATGCGAATCTTTATTTTAAGACTTATCCATTACCAGTAAATGGACGAAACGTGTTTATTGAAAATTCAAGACGCGTTAGAATCACTTACGGAAATTGAAGCTGGGCAACAGTGAAGTGTATCAAAGGAAAATTAAGGAGAACTTTACAAACAGCGTGCGCTACAGTGGTCGGAGATTCTAGTGGTAATTCAAGACTGCTTTGACCGCATCTTCCACTGCCAGGTGGAACTAACTGGCTCGACTTAGTCTCTCTTAAAGCAGTCCTCCGAGTCGACCGCGAACGACCGTTCGGTCGTCGTCTGCCAAGTCGTGACTTACGATTCGACCAGTTCTCCCTGGCCTCCTGGCTGCTACATTACTCCACGCTGCGCGCTGCTTTCAAATTCTTCCTCGTTAGCATGAACGTGGCTTATGCATTCGCGAGCTACGCTCGTGACACTTGTCTAGTACGAACAAATCGCGAACTCCCACTGGTACGAGTAGTTCGATGAATATTAACACCTGTTTAGGCTAACGTTTGTAACCGTACAAATTTCCCGGTTGTGTCGGTTACATATGCCCTCACGCGTGAGAACGTTCGGGAAGGTCCGAGGACCTTACGCAGGCGCAGGCACCGCCGGTTACATAATCCGCGGATCGACGATCGATCCGGTAACCGACGGATCACTCTGTGGCTGTATAGCGCGGGAATAAGATAGTATTCGAGAACGGATCCGTCCAGGACGTATTAACCGAGTCATTATAGAAAGTCTTGTAATAATCGCGATTCTGCACTACGTATAGTATTAAAGAGTGAGTGTGAAGACGGATGAGCGTGGCCACCGTGAACGTGTAAAGAAAAAGCGAACGAAGCGTGCCGTGGACGTCCACGCATCTAATCTGTAAGTCAATCCTTTTATATCTGCGCCGAAGAACCGCGAGCGTGTACATTGTATACTAGCATACTTAAAAGGGCCTTTAGTCAGGCATCGAATCGTGATATTATTTCCTATAGAACCGCCGCTCTAGTCAAGTGTGTTCACATTGTAAGATAGGCTCGCGCTACATATCTAAATATACTTGAGTATTTCGTATCCTATATAAGAACTTTCTGATTTCCCTCATTCCTGAGTCCTCCTCCTTACAAGGAGACGCGAACTCTCCCTCCCGAATACCTTAGAAAGGAATTCGGTTATACGTTTTACCCAAGACTTATATTATTTCCTCATTTGTAGATAGAATGTTAATGTTGCCCATCAAATTGGCCAAAAATATTGGTCTAAAAGAATCGATTTCTCGTTTTTATATTAACATATATTTGGCTCGTTAAAAAGCTGAAACTTAAATCTACGGTTTAAACTTCTAAGTACCATTTTTATTTGTAAGCAGCATAAAAAATGAATAGAAAGGTTTCTTCGGATTAATTCTGTTTCCTCGTGTCGACTTCCATTCTGCATTAAATGCTTCCACAACTTCATTCGGATGTATCTTATTATACTCACAATTCCCTGTCGACGCCGCGCCATATAGAAAACCAAGCCAGCTTTCCGTTTGTTCATTCAACGAAATCCTTTGTTTCATCAGCAAAGTTCGAGTAAAGATCTGCCGTGCTACCCGGGAAACAAAAGCTACAGAAATCTTTAGATTCAACAAGACGGTGCTTATCAACGCTCGCGATGCAGTAGCTAGACATTCAGAACGTAACAATTTCAAAGGCGCGACCGTGGAACAAACATTGGGAGCAGTGATCCCAAAGGGTCAATTAGAGTAAGAGTACCGGCCGTGAAACAGCTAAGACTGGAAGTTATACAGAATTTCCTATAAGGAGTCACTATCCATGAAACTTATTGTTAGTTCCTGTAATATTTTATAGAAAGTTCTCTAACTACATAGAGAAAACGTAATAACTCTTAATTGTCCTTGTACATATTTCTATGATCAAATTTTCTTAAATTTCGATTAAATTCTACGTTTTTTCATTGTTCTTTAAGTTTTCGAAGTCGCTCTTACAGAACTGTATATCGTACTCTAACAGTTTATTATGTCAAATGAAATAATTATCTCACGCTGGAATAAGTATGTTAAAGAAAGATGATTTATCTTATTAATTGTTTTAATAACAATAAAAATTGTACTAATGACAATAAAAGAAAACTGTTTTACAGAATTAGTTTCTTGCATATTTTAGAAAAATTCATACAAAATTTTAGAAAACAAAATATGTTAAATATTGATTATAAGAAATGCCCAACAGATCATTTTGACCGCCCTTGATAGATCTAGTATTAAATTATACTGTATTAATTATAATTATAATTATACTGTATTATCCATTTTACGAAGGTAATACATTTGTACAGTGCACGATCATGTCCAATCAAGGATTCATGGAATTTCAACTTTGTGCTACTATCATTTCGATCAGCCTCGAAATAATCATTGAGGCGTAGTCAGGTGCAAATGTTTCGAGACCAATGTAACTGGAAACTAAGGCACGGTCTGGAACCATGATATGCATTCGCGTAAGCTATCGCATTTATGCAGATGTTGCTCTCGGCCTTTGCTGATTATACGTATAGACGGACCACTTCGCGCGCTGATGCGTATTTCGTGTACATACATGGGATATGCCCGCAAACGGAAACGCACGGTTACGTGTACGCGTATTTATGGGAGTACATATCCAAATAGGCTTCTCCGTACATCCTCGTTTGTCCCCAAGGGATGAACAGGCCTTTGTAAGTATCAGTTTCTGCTGAAAAATGCTTCGACGTGAATATTAATAGATTTATTGATTCAGTAGATGCGAGAGATGCTTCGTTTTATTTTTCCATGAATTTCTGGTCCTGTAATATAATTCCTTGTGCTAATTTATAGAATCGTGTTGCGTTTTATATTTCTTGTTTTATTCGATAATTTCCAAATTCAGGGAGTCCCAGAATTCTGTATAGTACTCATCCCTAGGGATTGTAAACGCCATAATTTATTTAGAATGAGCGATGCTCTGAAATTACTTGTTTTTTTTTTAATTTCTTCAATCTGTTATGTACTGCAAATTTTTTAGATTATATTACGTATTTGATAAATAATAATATATTGTGAATTTTATAAATGATAATCGAAGTCCTTTTCGTACTCTAAATCTCATTGCAAAAAGTGGAATTCACTTCTCTTGATCTGTTTATTTTACGCCACCGGAAATCCCTCTCTCATTGCGTTTACTTTTTCCCTTCTCTCCTCTGTTTACATCACCCTTTTAACCCGTCGCGATTTCAATCAGGGCGAGAAGAGATCCCCCTCTGAAAAACAAATTCGCCCGTTCTTTGGTTTTCTAACAAACCACTACCACCACCGAGGTCGTGCCGTCATGATCGAGGACCCTTCGCCGACAAACGTGTGTTCTTTCCATCTTTTTTTCGTTCTCTTTCGCCGATCCGTCGGTTAGAAGGAAAACAGACGGAAAAAGGCAAAGGATGAAAAGAGAAAAAAATAAGCTGGGGTCGCCCAATTAAAACGAATACCGAGTCGTGATCGTATCGACTTCACGCCTCGTAAACGATAGCTCCTTCACCTTATTTGAATGGATTCGAAGAACTTCGCATTCATGCGAGATCTCCGAATTTTTTTCGGACTTTGCTTCATGTATTTATTTAATCATGATTACAGCACGCCAGATTTAACTTTCGTCTATCCAAAGAGGTATCTGACGATCAAAAAATATTCTCAGATAAGGACGAAAAGTGTTGCCTCGTAAATCCATATTTTTGGCTAATTTTTTGGGTAACATTGATATTCTGCCTTATCGCGTTACTTCGGAGTCTACCCTCCTTCATGACATAGAATGTGATTCATACAGCAAATAAAGAGAAAAGGATCTTCGAAGAATTATTTTCAGTTGATTATTATGTATTTAATATTTATTAACGGTATATACGTCGCAGTAGTGTTTCAACCCTAAGCATCCTATCGGTTTAAATAATTTTTAGATTTCGTGAAACCGAGGCTGAATACATTCCGGATAGAAGAAGATCGGAAATGAATCTGAAACGAAATTTTTACCACGGTCTAAGCCCTTTAGCGTGCAAGAGGCTTTTTTCAGATTTACAATCCGTCTCCATTCGCAGAATTGGTCATCGAGCGTTATCATCGCCAGCACTGTAATCCTGCAGAGCAATTTTTCTCGAGAAAAAACACGGACATGGAGTCTCCGAGCAAGAAAAGAAACTAGGTCACTGCAAGTTTTCAGAAGTGCTGAGCAGATTCATCTTAATTTAAGTGACTGCCAATATATCATAATGTTATCTCCTTAATAATTTCACATTTTCACCAAACTAGAGAACCGATCGCCTCGTCTATTTCCCCTCCCATGGCTGGCGAACCCCGTTCCCGAGGTGATTCTTTGAACAAGGGCGATTTCCATTCTCTCATTGTTGCCGGGAAAGATTACACCGGGAGCTTTAAGCCACTTAGAGTTTGGTCAGGCATTTTTAATTAGTTTAATTTTCAGCCTTTTAATTGGTACAAAAGCACGGAACTGTTCCGGAAAATTCGGAAAGTTTGCCAGTCCCTGAACCGTCTAGCTCTCTAGCAGCGACTGGTGGTTCTCCCCTTGGCTTCTCCGTCGCCGTCGGTCCACGGCCTATCTTCGCGTGCTTCTCATTCTTCCCTTTGCACACTTCCACTCTCCGCCGCTTTTATTTCATCCTTGCTCGGGGTTTTCCGCCTCTGAAAATTTCTGTTACGCGGAAAACTTTCTCTCGGCGAGAATACCTGTAATTTAAGAAGTTTCCATGCTGATGAGAGAGGGGTGGAATCAAAGAGGCCGAGAGATGGAAATAACGAGATTGCTGAAAGATCTTCCTGACAAGTTGAAAAGGAATTGTCAAAAAACAAAAATTTTCTTAACCTGCAAGCTTTTTTCGCATAATTTACCTAACTCAACTCTAACCCTCAATTATGATTCCTTTTATTTCTTTTAATTTTCTCTCTTGAAAGCAAGAATACAGTATAAAATATTCTGTACGGTAGATTATAAGCAGTGAGCTCAGACATGAAAGGGTGGTTACACAGGTTTCCTTTAGAGACCCAAAAAATTGTAAGACAACATATTTTACAATAAAAATATATGGTTTTCTCATTGAGTATAGTATTCGTATAAATTTTGTTTTAATAAAATTAATAAACGAATAGATCTCTATGTTACTGGTTCAGCCCTTAAGTTTAGAGACGATGTTTTCTACATTTTATTCATCTCTTTGTCAACCATTCGGTGTCTTATAAACAGCACTGTAGAAAGAAGTTAAAATGGAAGTGGATATGGAAAAGGAAAGGCGAAAGAAAGGGAAGTTTGCA